TTTTGCTTAATTTATTCACGATATTCCATATAAGTATACAGGAATCCAATCTGAATTCGGGGGACAACTCCGGTTTTAATTCCAACATTGATGGATCATATCTGGATTTCAGAATACCCGATTCTACTTGATCCGTTTTTCATACCTATCTAAAAACAAGGTATAAACCCAATGTAACCCGAGAATCATCAAATTCCTGTGTCTTCTCTGCAAGCAATAAAAAACTGGGCAAATGCTATTGCTAGTATGTGAAGATTTATGGTATGAGAATAAATTGTGGAGCGATTGTGAGTTATAGCATATTTGGCAAGCCAATGGGTTATTCTGTTACAAGAACGAGAGTATATAGAACCAAACAAAAGGCAAATTTCATAACAAGGTTGGAGAGTAAGACCAAGTCATGGGGAGATTGTGAGTTATAGTGAAGGTTCAAAATTTCGATACATATTGGGTCGTATTGATCGATACGTATCGTATCGGTGATTTTCCGATAATGCCCCTACAGTGGGTGTTTTGGGATAGGTGGACTTTAAACTGACTCCTAAAATATTGAAAAAGAAAAAACTAAAAAAAAAAAAGAGAAACAAGCCTTAATATAGGCTAATATGCTCCTACTGCATATTGACCAGTGTCGATATTTTGAGCCTTGGTTATAGCATATTTGGGAAGTTGATGGGTTATCGTGTTACAAGAATGAGATGTATATAGAACCAAGGAATTTTCCAGAAATGTATTGGTGGGCATTATCAAGGTTCAAAACATCTTAATGTATTGGTCTGACAAGAACCTAATACATGGAACGTGTATAAATCATTTGTTCCGATTTTTTTCGTACGTATTGGCCGATATGAGCCCATATCGAGCTGTTTTGGATCTGTATGGACTGATACATGCCTGAAACGGTTCAGATATGTATCATTAATCCATATTTAATATTGAATCTCTCATTAATGTCGTTTATTTAAGTCTAATTTTTCTTTCATTAATTAGCGAATTACTACACATTTAAATTTAAATTTGAATTTTAGTGCCTAATTCAAATTCTCTCATTAGTTCCTGTAACTAAAGATCCCCAACTTCAAATTTTAGCCATAACAAGATTTAAACTTTGTTCACTTGATTTTAACAACCACAAGTTTGCCAATGAGCCATGCATATTTGTTTGCTATGATTATATGTATTTTTAATTTTAAGTAAATTTTCACTTTACTTTATGAGTGACAAGTTTTTTATTAATAAATGTTAGAATTAATTATTAAAATTTACATACTAATAAATATTAAGATTAACTATACTAGTTTTTGAAAATTGACATTCACATTTTAATTTTTTGTTTTTTTGCATTTTAGTTATTCCGTCATTTTTCAACTGTTACTAATTGTGCCCCAATATGTCACACTTTATATAAACCATTAAATTATGATTTTTTACATTTAAATGACTTATTTATAATTATATAAAATATACAAATATAGTTAGTAATATTTTTTTTAAGATTTATTTGAATTTTTTACCATATTTATGTTTATCTTGATTTTTCATCTGTATCCATACGTGTCCAAAGCGTATCCCAATACGTCTCTTAAAATTGTCTTTCCGATACACCTTGCATTTCCGATACTTTGAACCTTGGACATTATGGAGAAAGGGGACTTTCACATAGGCACATGCCATGATTGCACTTACACCCCTGCCCCAATGCCCAACCCACCTACCCACCTACCCACCTTATCCTAGCCACCTGGCCCCCTTTGTAATTAAAAAGACAAAAAACAAGAAATTCCAATTTAAAAGAAAAAGGAAAAATATATAAAAGATTAAACCACAATTAAAAAACAACAGAAAAACATTCAATAAATGTTTTTCTTCTTAATCAAGTAGTCAATGACAATAGAAAACACTTAATCAAAACCGTAAAACCCACTAGTGAAACAATTTTATTATTTTCAATATATCATCTTAAAATCAACATAACAAAAATATTTAACGAAAATAAAAAATTAGAATTTACTTACAAGATTCAAATTACAACTATTGAACTAATCTAATAAGCAACAAACCACACAATTTTGAACTGGGAGCTAAGGAGATCTTGAAAGTACAAGAAAAAATATTCTTGTATATTAATTTTAAAATTTTTTATATTTAGAATCATGTATTAGATTTTATTTTTAATTATTAGCATTTTTACTATGAAAATTAGGATACATGTTTAAGCAAAAAAAAAAAAAAAAAAACTGGCTCCGCCATGTATGATGCAAGACAGGATGGGACGAGCGCCTAAGGATTGCCAATGGTTTGGATTTGGTACAAGTTTGTGTTAACCCAAACTCAATTCAAATCAACTTTGGTACAAATCCGGCCTGACCCGTTGAACATGTAGTATACTCAACCAATGCTATTTTGCACAAATTTGGCAGCACTGCAATTTCAACAACAAATCGGGTTGGTATAGGTCCACTTCAACTTAAAATCGGTCAAAAACTCGATTATGATCGATCCAAACCTAAACTAATAGAAAGGGGTGTCAACGGTATTCGGAATTTTGATTTAATTCGAGATTCGACATAATAAATATCAAATTCGGATAATTTGAATATCTAATCATTCGAATTCAAATATAATCTGATTCGATTCGATAATATCTGAATTCGACCAATTATTTAATTCTTATATATAATATAAAATATTTAAATATTTTATATATTTATATATATAAATAATAATTAAATTCTATAAATAATTTATATATTTATATACTTTAAATAAATAAAATATTTATTTATATATTTATAAATTACCTAAAATAATTTTCAATGTGCATTGAATACCGAATTGAATTCAGATATCAAATTTTTTAATCGGATACAAATTCGAATTCGAATTCATATATCAGATTGGGTCAATGCGGGTCTACCACCTAACCTGATCCACCGGCACCCATTGGGTATCCCGTGAACCCGAACCATGCAGACAACCTACTAGGTGTTTTGCAGTTTTGCTTGTTGGGCGGGCAGGGTCAAGGATTGCAGCTCTGATGTCCCACTCATTGCATGAGAGAACTGAAAATCTGGCATCTGTGTTGTGCCATGAAGTCAACAAATGTGAATACAGCTTCCTGTCCGATGATCATTCCTTCTACTGTGCCAAATGGGTAGGACCATAAAATGGGTGTCAAAAGTCATGGATTCAGGTCAAGCTCGAATCCTTACAGTGAGATCCATGCAAATCACTTCAATTTTATGGATAGGATGGTTGGACACATAGCATGATTCGATCGGCTCTAATTCTGGTTCGCACAACCGGACCCGTACACGACCCAAATAGAAATCGGATTATGAACCCGACCTGCTCCACTTTTTTGTGGTTGAGGTTGGTGGTGGCAAGCCAAGTGCACGTTGACGCTGCTCACCAACATATTGCAAAAGTTTTCAACGATTCTGGGGAAGCGGGCCCCACATTACATGGGATTCCGTCAATGACAATACGGCAGAAGTCTACCGAAGCAACCGTGAAATTGGTGTCGGTCAAGCCCCCCCAAGACTAACAGACTATGACGCCGTGATCTCCTCTCTCTCTAGACTAAGGTGCCATGACAGCGTCATCAACGGTGGATGATGCGTCAGCGACGAAAGTGGCAACTAAATAGGATTCATCAATTCCTTAGATTCAAAGAATCCCGAAACCCGTGGTGTTTTTGCGCGAGAATCGTTATCCGTACGACTCACTGTCACTGTGGGAGCTCGTCACGGGTTCATAAATAAGTAGGTGGACCGTGGAACTAATCTTCATAAGACAATAATACCCTCCTTCATTTCCTTAAATTTTTAATTTGCATGATGGACCGAGTCACCAACCACCCACCCACGCAGATTGGAGGATCTCGATGGGAACCGAGATCTTGATAAAATCTTATAAAATTCAAGTTTTGAAAAAAAATATCCACATCAGTTACCACTTACCGATCACATCTACGGGGGCTCAGCAGTAATAAGATCAAACTACAAGGCTATTTTCGTAAAAAAACTCCTTTTCTAATGAAAGTAATAAATAAGCTCTACTTTGGTCAATTTTTGTGTAAATAGTCTCCACTGTTTTTGTCTTTTATTCTAGATTCTCCAAATAGAATCTTTGATTTTTAGATCTAACAACATAAGGGCATTTAGTCCACAATAAACTAATTTTACAACGAAAAAAAAATAGAAAAAATTTATTTCTTTATCAATATTTCATTTATAACGTTTACCGATTAATAGCCAAAAGAAAAACGGACAAGTACGGATACATACGATGCAGAATTCTGAATTCCAGTTTCCCTATTACTAGCCCTCTCCCTTCTATAAATCACATTCTACCCGTGAATTTGATATCAATTCACGGTCAGGATGCATTCCCTATAAAACGTATATGGGAAATTGGGAAACGGAGTTTGTCTTACGTCACAGCCTGTCATCCGAACTTTATGTGATCCGCATCATGATCCGTTGCAAGTCCGATTCCAAACCGTTGTGGGCCTTATGTACATGAATATGATGTGGCAGATTCCTATATCGCCTCCATCTATCTTATGTATACAATATTGATTCCAATCCAGTGACTTTGGAACATAGTACTTTACGTCACATTAATAAAACTCGTATGCACCATAACAGTCAACATGCTAGTCGCTAGGGTCCGGACCCCAGACCGACAATCTCAGAAACGGATGAGAACCGGTAACCCGTACTTACTCACTCCATTAATGAATTTCTTTCCATCTAACCTTCTCTTAGGATAATACTCAGCTACTACACCCGATGCACAGTTCCCACCAGTCAATGGACCCAGAACTAATCCCAACCATCCGTATCATTCCACGTGCACCCATCTCATTTAACAAGTCAACAAGCTCCCTTCGGTCTTCCGTCTTCCCTTCCCTGATCGCAACCATCATTCATTCATTCACTCGCTAATAAAAAGCAATTCCATCAAGACATTTTTATTATCATTTCTACTTTTTCGTTTTTTCCACGCTTCTCTTCTTATAAAAGGATTACCTACTACTCCACTCTTCTCTGCGCCCTTTTATTTTCATCACTCACTCACCTCCTCCCTCCGTCTCTCTGTATCTTCCTCCTCCGTCGACCATGTCTCTCCTCAACGATCTGATCAACCTAAACCTCAGCGAAACAACTGAGAAGATCATAGCAGAGTACATATGGATTGGTGGGTCCGGAATGGATTTGAGAAGCAAAGCCAGAGTGGGTGTTCTGCTTTTTTTTTTCTTCTGCTCGATCTCTTCTTTCATTCATGGGGTTTTTATACTTTTATTCATATGTTTTCCTTTCATTTTCGGTATTTCTTTTGTGTGTCAGACTTTGTCGGGGCCGGTAACTGACCCACAAAAACTACCCAAGTGGAACTACGACGGATCGAGCACCGGACAAGCTCCTGGGGAGGACAGTGAAGTGATCCTGTAGTAAGTGTTAATCAACGCAGACCCTTGAATTGATTCGTCACTGTGATCATCGTGAAGCTTGCTTAACAGTCAAATTTCAAACAAGTGACGATCTTACTTACTTTTCTACTTTTTTCGTTTTCCATGGAACTAGTCCTCAGGCGATCTTCAGGGATCCATTCAGGAGAGGAAACAATATTCTGGTAAGGGATCCATCCGCATAGCTTGATTCTGTTAAAAAGTTTGTGTAATTCTAGTGGGTGGATTCGGTAATAAAGAAGGGAGCGGGCTTGTTTTGGTAATTTTAGGTTATGTGCGATGCCTACACGCCAGCTGGTGAACCGATCCCTACAAACAAGAGATATAATGCGGCCAAGATCTTCAGCCACCCCGATGTTTCTGCCGAGGAGCCCTGGTAATATTTTATTTAATTATTTTTCTTTTTTCAATAAAGATACCTTGTTGGAGGGGTGTTTTAGTCATTACAGAGGGGCTGTTCTGTCCCTGGCCTTTTTTTCGTTTACACTTTACACTGTCGGTCTTGAGATAGAAGATGCTATTAATGGAGAATTATTGGATATTATTCCGATTGGGCCCATGGACTCATCTCGTTTGCCTATTATTCGTTAAATTTACCGACCGAATCTTTCATTGATTACCAAATTCGCGAGTGAGCCGGCAGATTCCTTGTGGTGGAGGCATCGTGTCTATCTGGAGCAGATCGAGGCCGGTCTGGAGCTGGCTGGGCTGACGCATCTGAAGCGTATCAGCTCGTCGCGGGCGGTGGAATGTTTTGGGTTGCCGGGCTTTCTCGCGCGAGGCGTGGATTGTTAAGCGCATGGTGCAGTTGCACTGGGGTCTGTGGCATAGAAATAAATAGATGGGGAGGACAGGATTGGATTGTCTGGGTGGGTTTTGGATTGGTCAGTTCAATTATAACCTGCTAAGTGAGCTGGCATGAGTCCTTTGGGCTAAAGGGGATACAGAGTGTCACCTGCCCACAACCAGATAATACGACCCAACGTTGGCTGAATGTCAGCTTGGAAATGAGTGCAAGTTTTGATTTCACTGTTTTTTTTTTTTGTGTGTGTTTTGTATACTTTTTATTGCATTTTATTTATTCATGAACCTTTTGGAAGGGAAGGTGGAAAAAAAGTATGCAAAAGAAGTGGGAAAAGAGGACCCTGCGTAGATTTAGCATCATATGATGGATCTGCAGTTTAATGGGTCCCACCTGGCCCAAATAGTCGATCAAATTTTCATCAGGTGGTTGCTGATCATGCTGATTTTTGGTGGGGCCCACTAATTTGTGGGACCTCCATCTCCCTGTGGTCTTATGAATATTTTACACATTGGAAGCTATGATGTCCCCAAAGCTCAACCAGCAGAGCAGTCTTGGAAAGTGGTACCACTTGGGCTTGACTGCCTATCCAGTGGCACAAAACACAATTAGTTGTTTTTGGTTTATCCTTGCAAGTGGTACCACTTGACAGTTAAGCTGGCTTTTATTTTATGGGTAATAGGGGAGCGGTGTGACCTATGTTATTAGCAAATAATTTATGGGGGGTGTTGGCAGAATTCGGAGTATGTTGGAAAAGGGAACAGGATAAGGCAGAATTATAGACAATGCCCTTTCAAGTAGAGATACCCATTTAAGCTATGGATTGACCCTCTATTATTTAACAAATCTCGCTTGGAACATTTTTCTACTTTTATCTGCTTAGAGGGTGAAACTGGATCTGGTAGTGGTAGGCACTACCGGAGGGCACATGGGTGGGTTGAGGGTATTTATGGAATAGGCTTTATAAAAATTACCGTGTGCTTTTAGCACCAGGTGTGCTCACCTGTATGTACTGTATCCGGACTAACACATCGAATGCATCTTCGTTTTTTGGGTTGACGTCACTAAGTTTTGTGCACTTACATGGTTTTATTTTTTATTTTTTTTAAATTTTTTCCTGAGAATGACACTTGCATGATTTAAAGGCTTGTGGGTTGTGGCTCGGAATTGCTATAGCGTTGCTCTCATGAGCACCCCTAGTAACAAAAAAATGTCGTCCTTTTGCTTTGTTAGCATATTCTTCTATTGTGTAGTGTTTAAAAGTGGTGCTATTCAATGCTTTAACAAGTCTTTTCTTTGACCAGTGAACAGTTGTTTTCTTATCCTTTTTCAGACCTGGACTTTTCTCATGCTTGTGTCTTTTGGGGCTTAGGTATGGAATTGAGCAGGAGTATACTCTTCTTCAAAAGGATGTCCACTGGCCCATTGGATGGCCTGTTGGTGGCTTCCCTGGCCCACAGGTATGGATATCTCATTATTCTGCTCTAGCAATCTTGTTGTGATTTGTGAATATGCCTGTGTGACGGTCTTACGATATGGTTATCTGGTAGAAACTTGTGTCATGTGTGGCTTGGGCTGCTCCCTTTTAATAATGACTTAAGTGGCTGAATTGAATGACTTAATTGTTGTATTTTAGTAGATGGAGTAGTCTTTAAGGTCGTAGTAAAATATCTAAGGTCATACTTTTCGACCCAACGTGTCATTCTGTCATTGAGGGGCTCACAACCTACTTAATAACTTGTTCACTAACTAAAAGACAGCAATAAATTGATTTTTGGGATCTACCACTCCATCTGTTATCAAATGTCTCCACGCTCTTGGTATCTCATGATGCTTAATGTGTATGCATTTGCATGGCAATCATGTCGTAGTGGCCATTTGGTAACAGCTGGAGTGGCTGAACTGAAAATCGTATTGTTTTCTCTTTTGTGAACAAGTGTTTTAAGAAGGTTGTGGGCTCGTCGATGGCTGAAGCTGAAGTTGGGTTGCTAAACATACCCATGAATATTTTCATTATTAATCATTTTATCTACTAAAAAGATAAAGCGACAAGTTGTTTTGTCTTTTTATGAATAAACTGGTAATAATGTCTTGGTAAACATTTGGTAACAGCTGGAGTGTCTGAATTGAAAAGCTTATTGCTTTGTTCTGTAGTGATAAAGATTTTTAAGGTGGTTGTGCGCTCCTTACTGGTTGAAACTGAAGTTAGGTTTATTGCCATACACTAAAGAGAAAGTAATAAGTAATTTTATCATTTTGTGGATTAATTGGGAATCATGTTTTAGCAACCTTTTGGTAACAGCTGGAGTGACTGAATTGAAAGACTTATTGCTTTGTCTTTTTGTGAATAAGTATTTTAACTAGTTGTGGGCTTAAATGGCCGAAGTTGAAGTTGTGGGTTGATTACCATACTCTTGAATAATTTATTATTCAATCAAGACTAGGTAACTGTTTTGGTAACAGCTGGAGTGGCTTAACTGAAAAGATTATTTCATTGTCCTTTTGTGAATAAGATTTTTAATGTGGTTGTGGGCTCAGATTACTATGTCATTAAATATTTCATTATTTAATCATTTTATCCACTAAAAGGCATTAATAATTTGTTCAATTCAACAACTTCAGCCATAATCAGTGTTACGATTTTAATTCACAATGTTTTGAAGTTTCTAAAGGAAAAGTTCTCTGCAATGAGAAGTATTATGCAATCGGTCTTCTAAAAGATATTTATTGTCACAACAGCCTCAATTATTTGCTTATGAGTGATGTAAATGCCATTAGATTGTTCTTATTTACACGCAAATCACATGAACAATTTTTTGGCATTCAAAGCTTGTGACATAGCTCGGTATTCATAGCAATCTAATTGAATAAGCAATTCATATGGTTTGTACATTTGTGCTTATGTAGGGACCATACTACTGTGGTGCGGGAGCTGACAAGGCATTTGGGCGAGATATTGTAGATTCTCACTACAAAGCTTGCCTTTATGCTGGAATAAACATCAGTGGGATCAATGGAGAAGTTATGCCCGGCCAGGTTTGGATGATCTTGTTTTGTTTTGTCAAATGCCTTATAACAAAATCTCTCTCTCTCTCTCTAGAATAAGGATTTCAGAGAGGAAAATGTTATACAGCTTTTGTGGGTCATGGGAATGTAGTTGTATTGGCTTAGAATATTTCAAGGAATGTGGTTTCTTTTGCTGTTTATTATGCTATGTTTTTACCATTTTACCACATTGATGTCATATACATTGCCTATAGACAATGGCTCAGTTAATTCACCTTTTTCTGCTACAAAACTACATCAAATTACTGTTTCGAATAATTCATTATCTGCTGTCATTTAAGACGTAAACTGGATAAAATAGTCATATCCACATCCAGATCTATATTGAATACAGATTACAGAAGATGGATTAGTAAGAGCTATATGTTTTAAATTGATTAATACTGCTATTGTTGGTTGCAACAGTGGGAATTCCAAGTAGGCCCTGCTGTTGGTATTTCTGCTGGTGATGAATTATGGGTGGCTCGTTATATTCTCGAGGTATCTTGAAAATTTTGTGAAATATTCCTTCTCTTTAATACTAAATGGTATTGTGATTGTTGGTATACCTCACCTATTATTTTCTCTAATGCTTGTTGGTTGCTTGGTAAAACAGAGGATTACAGAGATAGCAGGAGTTGTTCTTTCATTTGACCCCAAACCAATTAAGGTATGCTTTGAATACACCTTTTTTTCATGTGGTGCTATCTTATAACTAAAACCCTTTAATCATTAAATTAATCAAAGTAAATTTCGACTGAACTTCTAGTGTGTAAAAGCTCGATAACTTTCAGTAGACTGTGTTCTACCATTTATCAAAAAAAAAAAAAAAGATTGTTTTCTGTCTGCAAATTTTCGAACTTGTTGCCATTTATACTACATCGTTCAATGTTCATTCTAAAATTTAGTTTAATTTCCTATTTCTGAAAGCTTAGGGTTTTGATTTTTTACAAGCAGACATGGTATTTTATTGTTATTGTTCAATAATGATAAACCCTTACATAATAAATGTCCTTTTTAATATATCAATTACCATCCTTTGTTTTCTAATTTAATTAAATTTTATATTGCATGATGCTAATTTGTGGCTTTTAGTTTATCTTATTCTGGGATATCTAATCATCATGCTTACAAGTAGACCAAATAATGCGTTGTTTCACGGTATTTACGGGTATATGCACATCAATGCTATTTCTGGATATTAATTGAGTGTTTTTTCCCTTCCAAGTAGGATTTAAATCACAAATTAATTTGTGGTTTGCTTGTTCTTACTTAATCCAACTTTGAATGGAAAACAGGGTGACTGGAATGGTGCTGGTGCTCACACAAACTATAGGTATATATCATTTCATTCTTTTTTTTCATAGGACATTGCAGTTCTGTTTTTTTTTTTTCATCCTCAGGATTAGAAGATTCCGAAACCATTTGTATGATTTTTGTTGTTGTATTCACTTTAATCAGCACCAAGTCCATGAGGAATGATGGCGGGATTGATGTGATCAAGAAGGCAATTGAGAAGCTCGGTTTAAGGCACAAAGAGCATATTGCAGGTTATGGGGAGGGTAATGAGAGAAGGTTGACAGGTCGCCATGAGACTGCTGACATCAACACATTCTCTTGGGTATGTCTGAAAATGGGTTTCTTGTTTTTTATTTCTTTAGATTATATGAATAAGAAAAAATACATCTTCCTGTGAGCATGGCCATAAAAACATGACACGTGGGTTAAGCAGAACAACTTTGAATAATTCAGGGATTGACATCACTTCTGATTTTTGCATTAGCACTAGGATACATACGGTGCCACAGGTTTTATCTTGTAAATTGTTAAGTGGCACAAATTTCATGTCTAGTGAGTACACTTGGGATAAATTTCATGCTTATGTTATGTTTGTATTGCAAATGACTTACTGAAAGGGTTGCAATTCAATAAAGTGCCCTTGACATGAGGAGGTACAAAATTATTTAGGTTATGTTTGTGATATTTTCAGCTGATCACCCTCAAATTGTTTAGGTTGCTTGGTCAAATTTTTATTCAGTCTAACTCTTCCTTGAAATTGCAGGGTGTTGCAAATAGGGGTGCCTCTATCCGTGTTGGCCGGGATACTGAAAAAGCCGGCAAAGGTGAGAATGAATAAATTTCTACTACCATGCTTCAAATTAGTCTTCTGTCATCCTTTTTTCTTTGGGGTGGTGTGGAGCGGTCTCTGTTCTTGGGTACCTGTTACTCTTTGAATATGGGGTAAATCCTTATGCGTACACTGGTGAACCTTTTTACTCTGTTTTGTAGGGCTGTTCATGGGTTGGGTTGGGTCGGTTTAACACATTTTGTTCAACCGACCCAACCTGGTCGGGTTATTAAATGAGTAAACTGAAACTGACCTGCCATTAAACAAATTAACCCCAACATGAAGGGTCGGTTTGGGTCAGTTTATTGGCTTAGTTGGTCGGTTTAACATTGGATTCAAAACTCTAGGACTCCTATTTTCCTATTTGGTATAAAGCATACCTTAGAGAGTAGAACTCTCTTTTACTCGTTCCAAAAATGCAAGAAGCTAAGACTCCAAGTCTCCAATCTCAAAGACTCCCATCAAATGAGAAATTTTCCAAGTTTGGCAAGTCTAAAGGTATAGGGATTTTGTTTGCAATGCTTGTTAATCCCAAAATGGTTTTTGAAAATTTGACTCAAATTATGTATTTTCCCCCATATTCAATGTTTCCTATTTAGTGTAAAATTTTCAACTCAAAAAAAGGAAAACAATCCTAAAGACGAAAGTAATTCCCATTTAGCTAATGCTTTATTATTTTTTAATGTTAAAAATAAGTAGATAACTAGAAAGAAGAAACTAGAATAGGTATTACCTGATTAGGGAAAGACTAGGAAATTAGAAAGTAATCAACTCAGTTTGGTTCGGTTTGGTTTCGATTTTCACACATGAAAATCGAAATTGAATCGAATTATCGGCTTATTTCTCTACAAAACTCGAAGCTGACCAGTGGTGATGAAAAACTGACCAAATCGGATTGGGTTGGGCTGGTTTATTGGGTTTGGCATTCTTTGTGAACAGCCCTACTGCTTTTCAATTGACGATCAACGCAATTAATTAGCTTGAATAGATTTGCATCTTTTTGGGAATTATGACTACTATGAATCATTATCATTACTGATAGAAATCCATTACAAAGAGTTTCTTCATAATAAGCGAAAGGCTTGTTTTGTTTTGGCTATAATGGTACTGATCTGAGTTTCATTGGTGTAATGCATGAACAGGATACTTCGAAGACAGAAGGCCAGCATCGAACATGGATCCTTATGTTGTCACCTCCATGATCGCAGAAACTACCATTCTCTGGAATCCATAGGAAAGTAGGAAGATTTAGAAAGGGAGAGGATTAATAATGAATATATGAGTGTTATGCTCCCTTTAGATCTCTCTTTTGTATTGTGCAACCCTGTTTGGGTTGTTTCCATTTACCGGTCATGTCTTATTAGCTTTGTGAGATGTTTCTCTTATTGGTGTTTGATTGTTTGAGGAGTAAAATAAGTCCTTATAAATAAATGGTTGTTGGAAACTGGTGCTTGATTGTAAATAGAAGTAGAATTAGAAATAGGAAACCATCAATCAGGGAAACCGGAAGAAAAAACAGTGTTGCCAAAAAGAGCTACCGAGGATAAAAGGAAATAATCCAAAACTTCCCTCTGAGAAGGTAATAGTTTTTCATCCACTTTTTAGATGCCTCCAGATACCCCTCTTATCTAAAACATTTTAATTTACACAAGTGTCATTCATTACACAACAAGATTAGGTAGTGGCGCACAGGTATTCACATCCCACATTAGTGATGCATAAGAACCACTGTTACAGGCTCACGAGTCTTGACATTTAACTCAAACCGCTCATTCACATTTCTTGCTTGTGATCCTTGTTTGAATTGCTACACTAGTGACGCATAAGAACCACTGTTACAGGCTCATGAGTCATGACATTGAACTCAAACCGCTCATTCACATTTCTTGCTTATGACCCTTGTTTGGAATTGCTAGATTTGATGGCTGTGTAAATCTTAGGATGGTAAGAACTTAAAGAAACCAGTGGCCTCATGATAATGCAAGTATTTGTCACTATTAAATCTTTGATATTACATACATGCATTTGCCCCACCACAAATTTTTGTTTACTATGGGAAAAACATAACAGAAGCTTGCTCTGGTTACTTGATTTATTCTTTAATGTGATAGCTAGATGCTTCAATTGAGGGCCCTTTTATGAGTGCAGAGCTGAGCATTCAAATAGCTGCTTTGAAGAGCTCCGGATAAGCTATTTAAAGATGCTGAAACAACTTTAAGGGAAAATTATAAAGACCCCCCCGCCCCCTTGTACAATGGGGCCAGTGACAAAGACCCCTGCAACCAATATCTCTGTACTTTAATTTGTGGCAAAGACCCCCCTAACTTTCACTGTGCAACAAATGGCTCCTAGTTGCTAAGCCAGATGAACAAATGCATTAAATTACCAAAATACTCGTATGAACTTTATTTATTTTCTCTTCATTTCCCTTTTTTCTTAAACCCTGATTTAACCTAATCTCAAAGTTACTTTGAAAGAAGTGTAACTTAAGCAACCGCAAAATAAATGAGAGGTAGCAAAGAAAAAAATTTTGAATTATTTCTTTAATTAATTTGAAATTATTACATGCTATGAAGCCTTAAACATTGATTTTTTGAATAAGCTTTCATGAATTCAACTAATGATTAAAATTTTCAAGTGCTTCTATAATATTATGTGGGAAGTCAATCAAACAAATTGAATTCCAAATGTCTATTCTAGTATTAGAGATAGCAAAACAAAACGAAAAAGAAAGAGAAAAAACCATCAATAATTGAACTATTGATTTTAGTTCCAAACCAAATATTAAAGTATGGCATTTACAGCATAGTTTTAAATGGCTCATCAGGTGGGGCCAAAGGCCTAAGCCTTGAGGCAAGGCTAAGATAAAAAGGCCTCTTCTCAGCAGCCTTAAACCCCACCAACAAGGTCAGCCTTGAGTTGTTTGAGGCTTACGCCTTTAGGCCTTTAGCCTCAAAATGTTCAAGGCTTAGGCCTTAACTATTCACCATACTAATGTGGAATGCAAAGGTTTACATAGGGGCAAACATAAATTTAGACAAAAAAAGCCTTGTTTTGTATATATTGGTATAGTGAGAAAAAAAAACATATAAATAACAAAAGATGCATATAAAATCTGTAAGAAAATAGCTTGCTTTATTATTCATGCTTTATTCTTACCCCTTTTTAAGGTATTTAAAAAAACTCTTTTTAATAACTAAATAATATAAAACTAACATTGTACAATTAAAAAAACTGAATAAAAATGTATGCATGGTTTAAAGTGTCGATACTCAATACATTCCTTTCAACATATTGGGGTGTATGGATACTTTGAACCATGAATCCATGTCTAGTATATCATACAAGCCATATAAGATCCTAATTTTATGTTTTCATGTCTTTATTGTTTATGGATTATATATTTTTCTTTTTATGCTCAAGGCTTATGCCTCAAAACGCCTTGAGGCTTATGCCTTGCTCCTATGAGACATAATTGCCTCGTCTCCCACCTTTAGCCTTTTAAAACCTTGATTTATAGATAGAGAAGTCCACCAACATCCATCATTTACAAGAACCAATCGTTGTTTTGGTCTCCAGTATCCATGGCGATTTGGTCGTAGATGTCTTCTCATCATTCAAATAAATAAGAATTGGATAGTTTAAGGATTTAAAAATTTTAAATAGTTGAATGAGAGAATCTTTTCTGAAGATTATTGACGGAATGCTAATAGAGAGGTGGTTCTTTGTCTAACGGCTAAAGTTTAAGGGGTGTTTGTCACAAATTAAATTGTATGGGGGTCTTTATCATTGACCCCATAGTATAGGGGGTCCTTGTAATGTACCCTCAAAATAATAAAACGATTCATGCATTTGTTGATTTGGGCCATTTGGATATTTCACCAAACACAACTTATAGTTTGTCCGTGTGCCAAACCTATCAATTTTGCCAAACTTAGAGTCCACTAGAGTTGAAGTTTTTTAATCTTCATTAAATTCCTTTTTCTTTCCAAAACCTAAGAATTCCTTAAATCAATCCCATTTGCAATTTGAGTGGATTGGATGATACTATAAGCAAATATCAAAAAGAAAGTAGGGAATATTTACAATCTTAGAGGGAAAGGCTTTCATAATTCATTCCTAGTTTTTCATATTGCGATGAAAAATCTAATTGTCAAAAGGAGCTTGGATTTTGAGGCTGGTGTTGAGATTGGATTCAGTACTCACAAAACAGTGCTTAGATCGTACTCACAACTAGCTGTGCATTGGGAATATCTCCCGTGAATAAAAACATTCGAGTATGGAGATATTCCCAAAAATGGTTGCAAGTGGCTTGGAGTATGTTGTGAGCACTATCTTGTGAGTATTGAATCAAATGAAGTGATGAACATCCTTTATGGTATAGGGAGAAGGCATATCCGGGATGGCTTGGATTATTTCTGGGTTGGCCTCAATCCCCCATTGAGTCACCATGAACCCTAAGAATTTATCTAAATTCATGCCGAAAGCATTTTTGGTCAGATTTAACTTCATCTATTGTGGCAAAAGTTGCTTGAGACTTTTTCCAAGTTTGCTTGGTGTTGCTTTCCTTTAAGGCTTTTAACCAACATGTCGCCTAGATAGGCCTCAATGATCCTACCAATCTGGTCCTTGAACATCCTATTTACCTACTGTTGGTATGTTGCATTAGCATTTTTCTAGCCAAGGGGCATCACCTTGTAGCAATAGAGCCCTCGGTCAATAATGATGGTGGTTTTCTCTTGGTTTGATGGGTGCATCTAGATCTAGTTGTATCCCGTGAATGCATCCCTAAAGTTAAGCATCTTGTGGCTTAAGGTGGTACCGACAAGCTTATCTATCCTTAACAAGGGGAAGTTTTCTTTTGGGTAGACCTTATTGAGGTTGGTGAAGTTGATGCATATCCTCCACTTCCCAATGGCCTTCGTTACCATCACGGCATTCTCTAACTAGCTTGAGTATTTCACTTCTTGGATGAAGTCCAGAGTGAACAGTTTGTTGACCTCTCTCATCAACTATCACCTCTTTAAGGTATAGATCCTCTTCTTCTATCATATAGGTCAGTGGCACGAATCGACATTAAGATGATGGGCCATCATTTTGGGGTCAGTCCTGGGCCTATTTGAATCAAACCCTCAATAGGCCCACCGTGCTATGTTTAGAGCTTTTCTAGAAAGTCTAGGTTGTTAATGGCAAGAGCGTTGCGCCTCTTCCTTTAACATTGTAACATAGCATTGTCAAGTGGTGCGCTGGTCTCCTTAGGCTTTTCCTATGTCGTCCTTATTGGGGAACTTCAGTGCAAGGTGTTACATGGACATTGAAGCTTTCAGTTTGTTCAATGTTGAGGGGTTGATGATAATGTTGTACGGTGATGGATCATTCACTATTAGGAAGTCCATGAGTAGTGTGGCCTTCTGCTTTCCTTTCACAATCATGAAGTGGTAAATTGATCTTCCCTTTCGGCTTTGTGGTGTCACTAAAGAAGTCGACCAGGGAGTATTCACTATGTCGATGAGGATTTTACGCACTCTGGAAGGCTTCATCAAAGCTGATGTCATTTGAGCTTCCTATGTCGATGAGGATTTTACGCACTTCGAAGTTGTTGATGTTTATAGAGATCACCTATACGTCTTTGTGCGATGCCTGAACTCCTTCCAAGTCATCCTTGGTGAATGTGATGTGGGAGTTCACCTTTGACTTCTTTTGAGGTTGGCCTTCCACCTGGTTCAGTTGAGCATAGGCCTTCTGAGACAAAGAGCTCTCCCCTTATTGTTGGCCTTTAGATATCATTATAATGACTCCAACAAGAGGGGATCTAGGTCATGAGACGCGTTAGTGCAGCCTTGGTTGTTCCTACAACAGTCATGATGGTCAATGATGTACCCACTGAGGTAACCTCTTCTAATGAAGCTTTTTATATGGTTTCAGAGGTCCTTGCAATCCTCCATGTCATAGTGGTGGTCCTTGTCGAACTTAGAATACTTGTCACAGGTCCTCTTGTTTACCTGGGACTTCATCTTCTTAGGCCATTTGATGAAGCGCTAGTCTTGAACTTGCATGAGGATCCCAGCATGAGGTGTATTAAGGGGTGTGAAGTTCCGGAATGTTGGTGGGGGAATCCTCGGTCTGTGCTCGTGATGTCGGTCCAACGTCTTCTTGTCTCGGTTGAAGTGGTGGTCATCACACTCTTTGTGCTTCTGGTCACATCTTTCTTCTTTGCCCTCTTTTCAAAGGATGAATTGAACCATGAGGCTTAGAGGTCATGCATTAGGGTGGCCTTTACTATGGATTAATGTAGCGTTTGGACTTGGATAGACTCGAATCTTGCCCCACTGACTCAACAGCATGAGGTTGGCAACCGTTTTGTGGTGTCACAGGTTGTTCATGAACTGTGCTAAGAAAAGTCCTCGAACATGCTCTAAGATATAATAGAATAAGGTGGTAGTG